TAACAGTCTGTTAATGACTAGATCTGATATAACGAATGAGGTATTCAATATCTGTTCTTCTGTGGGATATCACGTGTTAAATCGTTAGTGAAATTGTTTTTTTCTAGAAGATGAAGACATCTTAAATATTTTTTAAACATTTAAGTCATTGAATTAATTTATTTAAACTCTAGATAAACCTAGAAATTTTGAAATGTTGTTAGAAAACATGTAAAAAATAAAATAGTGTAAACAGCGCACGCAACGCTATCGCTGGAGGGGTGTTATCGGCCCGTTATAAGTAGGCCTCGGAGGTGGGTCAATGGCGTTCGTTGCCCCGCTGCAACCCGCACGTGCTGGCCTCGGCCGCCCGACCGCCCGGCCGCCGGAACGCCCGACCGCCCCAGCTCGTCGCCCCTACGCCCGACCGACGCCCCGCGCGAACTTTATGCCGATCGTTACTAATCTATAAAAACATTCGCTACACAAATATGCACTCTACAGTCGCTTCTACAAATAACACTAATCTTTGGCACTTATTTATAACTTATTAAAAAAAAACAGATCGTTACTCTACGATACATTTTTATTTGAAATGGTGAATGTACTGGTTGCGACTAAAATAGCCATGGACGCAAAGGCTTTGGGATAGAAAAATGTTAGAAATTTACTATTAATTGTTATGTCCACATAAAAATAACTAAGTTTAAATATTTTAAAATATGCTTAGAGCTCTATCTTATCACCCATAAAATCGCTAGCAAGTGATACTGCGGTGCATGACTAGTGTAAAATATGGCGTTAAATAGTTCTGACAATAACCAACAGATGTCGCTGAGTGAGAGTTCTCAATGTTGGTTATAAATTATTATTTTTGTTTTAACAATAATTAATGCTGTTTTTAATCGTTTAATAATCCAACAAATAATGAATAATTTAAGAATAGTTTTCAATGCCACATTTGTGAAAAGCGTTTCATTTATCAGTCTGGAAGGGGTTGGAGACGTGCGGGTAGAGCGGAGGCGGGGGCGGTCGCGAAGGCGGGGGCGGGAGGCTTCAGCGCAGGTACTAGGTGGGTCAATGACGTTCGTTCACCCACTGCAGCTTGCGCGCACCCTGAAACTAGGGCGCGACTACATAACTCCCCCGGTTGCTAAGTGCCGCATGCAAGGCGACAACGTCCTGTTTTTCATAGAGGGTTCTTGAACAAACCCCACTTATGTGAGCGGTGCATCTATTTTTGTGAACAAAGCTTAATGTGGAATACATAGTGTATGTACTAGTAAGATATAAGATCACATATGAATGTTTACGGTTCTGTACTTATGTAGAGTCACATTTAATGTTTCACATTTTACAAAAAGCATATAGCATTACGTTGTTAAGCACAATAATAAAAATAATATTTACTTGTTGGTACTGGCTGGTTTTTTTCTGGTAGTTGCCTCCAGTCACATTTGGAAATAGTTATTATTTTTGTCTATCAAGTTGAAAAAACTAAAAACTTGTCTTTCCATTAAATATTAAAAAAGGTAAAATGGTATAGATGTTGTCCAATGGCTGTCGATCGATGTCATAGGATTGCTCAGTAATTTCGGGTGTGGCTGGTCTTTTAAGTAAAACTATTTATAAATAAAAAATTCTAATTTAACTTGCAACCAGCAATCATATTGATTAACTGCATACAGGGTCATTGAACCGTATTAAACAGAAACGTGAATGACTTTTATATGGAATTCTTGGCAAAGGTACAATTTACTAGTCCAACTGCCAAATTTCCAAGTCTATGTACCCGTACAAATTACCTGTTATTCGGTTATTTTTAGACTAACTTTCATAGTTTTTAAGGTATTTTGGTATATCATTGACCGACAATTACTCTAACTGTACATAAAAGGTGTATAATACATTTAATTAAGAAAATTAATTGCATAAAATGTCTTTTTTCTTTGAATGTTGGTATTAAAGTCGGATAACGTGACGAGAATAGTTATTAATTAGCAATTAATGGTTAATGAGCGTTCTGACTCCGCCGAGATAACAATGTATGCTTAACTTGACCTCTACTGGTTGACTTTGAATGAACCATTCAACAATTAGAGAATTCATCTCACTTTAGTAAATAGAAATAAATATAGTTATTGACAGTTTTAAACTCTTTTGTCTCACACGTTTTATATCGTCTGTCTGTTTTTTAATCTTAAATTTTATCAAGATGAGTGTGAAAAAGTTAAAAATAAAATAAAGATCGATTGCCTTTAACGTTTGTGTAGTGTTACAGTTTTTCCATAGACAATTCATGTGTTTCATTTGTATGTTTTTTTTTCTGCAATCTTCTGCAAATATTAAAATATGTTATTTTGTTTTGAAATGATTAATGTGTATAATTCTGATCACGTTTACAAACAAGCGCTCAGTAGCGCTAGCGCTGTTGGACCATGACCTTAATGACACAAAATGTTATTAAATGCTTTAAAAGTCTTGATTATACTATTTATTAATTTATTTATAGAAATATTACCTTTTGCCCCCGACTCCGTCGGCGTGGTATTAAAAAAAACAAAAGTAAGTAGCCTATGTGTTCTTCCAGACTGCCCTCTACATCTATACTAAATTTCATCGAAATCCGTTCAGCCGTTTAGGCTACAAACTCTAACAAACATCCATCCATCCATCCATCTAAACTTTCGCATTTATAATATTAGTACGATTAGTATGATTCAAATAGAAGCAACAAATATATTTTCAAGGTTATACGCTCATAGTGTATCGGTAAGATACACAAAGTCATATAATTCTGTTCTTTATTTCTTCTTAAGGTGCCTCTCCGACTAGCGAAAGTTGGCGGTCAGTTCTTCAAATTTTACTCTATCTCTTGCGAGGCGAAATAGTTGGGCAGCACCTTATTTAGGCGAGATTATTTAGATAAGTCAAGAAAGTATTACATAATAGGCTATAACCCTTAAAAAAAGATAAATAAGAAAACGAGGCATACTTATTTAAACCCTAGTTAAATTGTTTATACTTCATGACTCCAATACCGTTCACAGTCATTTGTTAAAAATGTAAAATATAGTAGGATTTGAATCCAAATATAATACGAATACGTACTTATCGTGACTATAAATTGAGGGTCCCACTTACCCCACGTCTCAGATCATTCAATACGTTAACGAAGTCGCACTATATATTGTACTATGCACGTTAGTGTTAGCGCACTAACAGGTACCGCTGGTCCAACGAAAGTTTAGCAAGAATTAGATCATTACGTAAACGCATATAGCTGACGTGTGACTAGACTGGTTGCATCGACTTAGTGCTAAGTACATCTATACAAACCGAACAGCGTTAAAGCCTTCGTCTATGTACTCGTAAAAGTAGATAGAATGTCTAAGTCAGCCAGGCCAGTAGGAGCCAAGGCTAGGTTGTTGAAGTGATACATTTGAATTTAGACTCAGAACGCACGGGTTAAAGCTGCTTTCAGCTTGTTGCAGCACCTCAATGACGTTCGTTGACTCGAGCGTTCGATGCCGGCGCATTGCTGTTTTCCTTCTCCGTTTTCATGCATTGATATTAGAAACTATTGATGCTGTTTGTGCCATATTATAACGTTT